ACAGTAAAACAACTGCAGCACACTATTTTTGTACCCGTTAACTTTTTTTTTGTCTACTTATGGCGCTTTTCTTTAAAGTAATGTTGACTTTGTTTCATAGATCAATCAAAAAACTTTTTCACTACATCATGCTTCGGTATTATAAATTTGTGCAAAAACCAGTTGTTGTAGATTTCATAATTTTGTCGTTTGATATAAAGGTCTTTTGAACCAGTTATACCGTTTAAGTATTTGTATGCTAATACAATTTTTAACCTGTTAGTGGTTGCAGTCTGTTCTTTGTTACTGTTTTTTTTTTTTTTTTGGTATGTAGTTCTTTTGATAAGTGTCAGTAAAAATCAATAAGATTCAATGTAAACGAGTTTAATTAGGTTTGAAATGACCTAAAATTTTTAATGGTTGCTATAACCTAATAGTTTCGTCTTATAATTTCCGCGTATTATAGCAGCTTAGCACTGAAATTAGGGAACCTGTTTACGATTTTTAACTGCGTCCGAAAACGTGGCAATAACAGCCCCGCAAATGCTAATGAAATTTGCAATTTAAGTTTGTAAACAACAGTCATAAACCTTTCGTATTGATCCATTTTAGTTCTAATGGCTATCATTCTACGATTTACAAGGCATTCGTTAGAATTTGTTTTACAGAATGATCTGCTGGGGCGAGAAAGGAAAAAAAACGAAAAAAAAAACAACAACGTGCTTTATAAATCTGTTTATGACAAAAAAAAATTTTTTTCTTTAGTCATAAATAAAATTTAAGCGGTACTTTCAACAAGTCTGATTTTTTGTACTGCCAACTGTGGCGACAAAAGTGTTTTCAGTGATTTATAATGAGAGTTCAATGTTTGTTGTTTTCAATTTTCAAAATATAATCAATTTTCAAAAGAAAAAAAAAAACGCAACTGAAACAGGTTTATCTGACGGCATGCGTTTTTTCCAATTTAAAATGACAAAGACACGCATGCCGTTCGATAAAAAGTTGTTCTATTTTGGTGTTAGCTTTAAAAACAAAAAAAAACTGCCTTTTTGATCATTATTGTTTTGCTCAAAAGCGTTACAGAGTACTCCATATGTTGGAGGAGCAGAAATGAATTGCTTCAGAAAGCAAATGAAATGTTCAAACTTGTAGTGTTAAGTGCAATAATTTCGTCCGTGAAATTTGTTGCAGTATGGCACAATACAAATAAATTTTAAAGCAAATTAGGTTGGTATTTGATCATTCGCACTTGTTCGTTGTTCAAAACAGCTTCGAACAAAAACGGTTCTATATTTCGCGCTGACTTCAGAATATTGATAATAACATTTTGATGGTTGGAATTCTTAGCGATTTGTGATCCAGTCAAATATTGTACTGCTACCACTTGTTTTGCTGCTAGAACAGTCTCAGAAATGGTAGGTTGTCACTAAAGATTGGGTTAGAGTAACAAGAAGAGATCTGAAGAAATGAATGAGAAGCTCTTGTAATTTCTTGACTCTAACATCTTTTAGATACGTTGATTAACTGCGGTTATTATGGCAAAAATAAATGAAACTTTTCCAGACAGCTTCTGTTAGATTTTACTTCAGATTTTATGCTTTGTGCCTTATTAAAAGTTGATCAAGCGTTTATTTATTACTTAGGATCGAAATATCATCAACTGCCATAATTTTAAATAGGCAATAGGCTGTTGCCTGTATTGAGATCAGATATAATGCTCTTTGGCTGATTCTGTGACTAAAGGTCTCCACAGTTTATGGGATCAAGTAGGGGAAACTTTTGAGCTTACTGCGTTCTGTGCCTGTAGGTCATCGTAGCATTTCCGATTCGGGTCTAATAAATTTTTTGATGTTAACTTGGCTGTTCAGATGACCTTGGTACATAGAAAGCGGCAGTTTTATGGGAATTTCTTTTTTAAATTTACTTACTGTATAGATACTGTTTCTTTTTCGCTCATTCGATTATTCAATTTTTTCTTTGCAAGTTGCTGGTTGCTGTAGATTAATAGAAGACAAATTTGTATTTTTTTGTGGTATAGTACCAATCATTTTTATCATTAAAAGACTGTCTTCTTTGTTTCTTGTTCCTTTTTCAATTAAGCATATTTGCAGACCCTTGTCTACCATATTTCTCTATATTTAACTTTAGTAAACAAAAATAAGATAAAGAAATTTGGGTTTTTTCCTAACAGAAATTCTGTGGAACTATTGTTTACTGATTAAGCAATAGACATTGTTCTTTGCTCACTGCTCGTTCTTCCTTCACTAATCTTATTCTAGAAATTTACTTTGCCAAACTGCTTAGGCTTGCCTAACTTATCGTTCTTGCATTGTTACAACACTGTTATGTTTGCTTCCATCTGAATGATAAAGGGCCTACCTTTGCAATTAATAATCTTTGCTCTGTGCTTTAATAGCCTCTTGGTAAAGAGGGTTTTTCAAAAATATCCTGGACAGCGGGAACCCAGACCATCAAATGGCTGAGAAAAAAACACAGATTAATTTGTGCTACGCACGAGAATAATGCAGAAACAACAGGAATAAAAACCTTTAAAAATCTTCAGTAAACGAACTGCTAGCAGGGAATACAAAGCAAACACTGCTGCTCAGATGTATCTGAGTTGGCAGACTGTGTAAGGCCTAAATGAAATAATGTTTCATTTGGCGCTAATGTAGCATATTAAAATGTTCGCGGAGTCAGAATGCTGAAGAATTATTGCTAGCATCAGTGTAATACGTGTATGTTTGAACACCTATAGTTTGTTCACCTTCTGCATGCGTAAAGGAAAATTCTTCTTTCAAGTTACACTTCTACTTTTTGACGAATTTGAAACTGAAAAAAGCTCCTTGTTTGTTCTGCCAAATGTATTCTGATGAGAAGGTAGAAGTTCATTAGGACGACCGATCGTGAAGGCTTTATTGCTGAATTTCAGTGTTAAAGTAAGTAATGCAAGCATTTAGTACTGTTCAAATTAGTATAGCTAAAAACATGAAAGATGAAAGTCTTACTTTGACCGTTAAGAATCTGTAGCTTTATATCTGCACTTTTATTTTTATTTTTGTTTTAATTTTTTGGCTGCCTATTAATCTGTTCAATAAATTTTCAAAGTCTTTTGTTGCAGTGACAAACCCAAGAAGAAAAAATTTAAACGAAATTTGAGGAACCGTTTGTTGATATTCTAGAAAACTGCTCTCCATCCATCACATTCGCGTAGTGAATATTTTTCGGCGAAACTGTTTGATGTGGTTTGAATAGTTGTGAGGCCTTACTGGTACAGGCGGTTTTGAGAAATTTTTGTAATTTCCAATCGCATAGTTTTATATTAACTTAGGTTAAACGTTACCAAAGGCTTCTGCAACTGATTATTAGTAATAACGGTGGTAACACAGAAAAGACCAACACTTAAAATTACTCAATTAGAATAAAGTGGCTTAATTCTGCGCAAAAAGGACTTTGGATTTCTAGTTGAGATATTAGCAAAAAAAAATTAGATAGCACCTAGCTGACATCAAACTTTAATTTCAGATCCTGAAAAATAAATTTAAGTTTAAAGCTTTCTAAGTTTTGAGTTAATTTCAGCTTATCGCGTTCGTGTTAATTGTAATCAGTTGAATTTGGACACATCTTTTTTAATTAAAACCTCATTTTTGCAGCGTCACCAGAGCCAATCTGCGGTGAGCGTTTGCTCGTACTGTAGCCTTTATCGTCTGAGTTCAATTTCACTTTAAATCAAGTTTATTCATTTTGGTGATGTTTCTGCTGCTTCATTAACGCACCACCATTCTTACTGGAAATTTGAGAAGCAACATTTGTTGACCGAAAAAGTAGATGGTATTCTTACAGAGATATCTTGTTGCAAATGGGAAATGAAATACATGAATTTGGAACAAAGAAAAACTATGAAATCTCTCCCCTTGCTGACTATCATGAATGCCAGTCTTCTAGAACATAAAATAAGCCGCAAAAGCATGGATAGAAGAAAAAAAAATTGTCTTGACTTATACTCTCCTAATGGTCTCCGAAAAATTCCTTAATTTTTTTTTTTTTTTTTTTTTTTTTTTT